GCTATATTTGAGAAGAATTTTAGATACAGTTGCATAATTTATCTGTCTTCTGCCATAAAACAACATGTCCCAAACAGAGGCTGCTCTTTCAACTTGAACCTCATAGTGAGAACACAAGATCTTTAATCAAGTCCACTGCCTGAAGCATGACCATAGCAAACCATCAACCAGCATGTGCTATGGGTTAGAAGCAACTATTTGTGGGTATAAACCACTGAGTTTGGGTTGCTTCTGCAGCAAAAACTCATATAGGTATAAAAATATGCTTCTAAAACAAATTTACTGGATTATTAAGATTAATGTTACTATGGCAGTAAAAGGAACCATGGATATAGGTTTTCTTCACATTTAGAAAGGTGTTTGGGATTGTAAGACAAAATATAGGCTATGTGGGTTGGGGGAAAGACCCAGTGATTGTCAAGTAGGAGAGGCAAGCTTTGTGGATAAAGATGCCTTTAGCAGAGAGTCCGAGTAGTAGTTTCAACTGTGAGCCCAAAACTGAGCATACAAGGTAGACATTTCAAACTGAAGGTCTTGATTTTCAGTTTGAAATTAACAATGGTGCAGCTTGCAGGGGAAACTCCATGAAGCATGCTAGAATGGGTAGCAAATGAAATTTTAAAAAAAGAAAAACAGGAAGATCAACTAGTGTTAGATTAAAAGAGAATAGAACTTGCAGATGGAACTTTAAACTTTAGTGTAACATTCTCTATGACAGACTTTAAAAAAGATCATACTTCAGGTGATGGCCAGATTTCTACAGTATGTCATTCAATAGAGTTCATTATATATCTCTAGACAGAATTGTTCTAAAATCATCAAAGTTTTTAAAAGGTTAACAGCAAGATGTTTCTTTTAGCATATTCTTTTAGATATTCAGCCTTATGAGAAAACAGTGTAGGCTCTTAAGTGGGTTATGGGGAAATGGAAAAAATATCTCATAAAAGAGGTGACTTATACAGAATCCAATTCAAAACAAAGAAGAGGAGAGAGTCCGATATTCCTGTTTCCCATTTCTCTTCTTGTTTGAAGTTCTGTATCTCATTGCAATGTGGTATCGTCCAAGGTATAATGAATTCAGAGTCCTGTGGTCAGTCTGATCTTGATTTGCAGGAAATGTTGAAATATTAAGCTGATCTGATTGCCACTGCTAACTTGGTAAAAGATTAACTTAGAAGTGGCTCCAGATTTCTGAAAATCCCTAAAAGGAAACTGAAGGGACAGGGGGACCAGAGGGAAATCCAAAATGAGTGAAAAGGGCTTCAATATTAGGATCTTTATATTCTGGAGCAGGAAGTGATATTGACCTTGGTAACAGCCCTAAAAATCGATTAAGTAACAGGTTTTAGAAATTATCTCTCTCTCCATTATCCAAGGTCATAGCAATGACTCATCTAAAAACTAAGCATCCATCATCTGAAAAATTATACCAAGAAAATTTCAGAAGGGCTTTTCAATTTTAAATAAAATGTCTGTTTTTCCATATCTCTTTTTTAATGTCTTATCTAGTTGTTTTTCAAGTACTTAGTTGTATCTTTCTTTTTTGTATTTTTTTCCAAAGTCATGCTGGAGTAGATTTTATAGAATAGAATTGTACTGTAGAAAAGGACCTTAGAATTCATCTGATGTCCTTTTGTCTCACTCACCATAATTCTAGAAATGAGAAAATGGAGCCCTAGAGTCTGGGGGGCTGGAAATTATCAAACACAGCGCTGGGTCTGGATCCCAAGACTCTTGCTCTCCAAGGCTTCAAGGCTTTCATGCTCTCTCAAACTGTCTCAGATTAGTTTGGGATCAAAACCTTAGCTTTTTTTCTCACCCATGACCTTTTTAGCAGTATCAAACAGCCCAATTATTCTTCTGTTGCTAGCTCTTTCATAGTCCTAACTTACATTCATTGAGACATAGTTTGCAAAAAAAGAAGAGTTGCGGTCTCACTGCTGACCCTCTGTGGCAATAAGAGAAAAATATTTTTAACAGTGAACTTTGAGACTTGAGTGTTTCTAATTCTATGCTGTTGATGACACTGACTTCTACTAGTGTTTTAGCACATATGAATCATGTTATAGTTTCAAAATACTTTTCTATCAATAGCAACTTCTTTGCATGAATCAGGCTACTTTTATTATTTCCTCCTCCCTAGAACAGCTTTCCCGGTCAAATCAGATTTGATTAATGCAATGACTTGTCCAGATGTGTAAGTGTATGAACTCCTAAAATCTACAGGGTTCAAGCAACAAAAATTTAGGTTGAGGGTAGAAGCAGTCTTGCCACTGGGATTCTTGGTTGCTAGGGACAAGGTTGGGGGGAAAGGATAGAACATTCTGCATTCATTATTGGCAAGCCAAGAGTTTACAGATACCCTATCTCATCATCTCTTCTCCAGAGTCTTGAAAGACCCTGCTTCACCCTGGAATCTGCTGTGGTGCCGGGCAGGGTGAATGTGGGCAGAAAGGCCATTGGCAGGGTCTAGTTCATCCCTGACTGATCCAAACAACTCACATTCTCAGGAGGAATCCATGGGGGCACTTTGGATCAGCAATATGCCAACACTGGTCTGTCTCTAGTTGCTACTGACAAGAGTGGACACCTCGAGTATATGCCCCTTGGTATAGTGATTCTGAGCACGAAACTAGAGGCAATTCCAAACCTGGAACAAGAGTAAGGCTCTCCTCGGGCATGACTCAAATAGAAAAGCATTTTGAATCATAACATTTGAATCTGAGTCACTCGCTAGTCTTTTCTTTGTACTGTAAAGGCAATTTAAGCATTGAGGTTTTTTGATTCTCAGCCTTTCCTTCTCAGCAACCTTCCATTCAAACTGCCCCACAGAATCAGAAAGATCTCTTTTAGGCATTTAAAGGAAGACCACATTACACAAGCAGGTTTGAGGAATTTGAGGGTTTAGGAGATTCACTAGAAATTACTGTCAGTTCTCACTGTAAAGCTATCTCTGCCCTTGGGACACACAGCCTGCCAAATGGCCCCATAAATCTGATTACCCTCACCTTTCCTCCTCCGGCATCCTTGTTACAATTCTTCTGATTTACCAGGAACTTCAGGGGAGTTAAGACAAATAAAACCTAACAGACATTCTGACCTTCTATTGGGACCAAAGCACTGATGATGATGCATCATCACAAATTGTATTTTTAGAGACTTGCAAATGTTATATTGGGCTGGCCCATATTTAGGTCATCTTTGTCACCTCCTCCAAATTCCTCTGATAATTTGAAGATGCACTGAGAGTCTACAACCATACTTGCTAGAAATTCTTACTAACTTTTACATCTCATTCTACTGTTTAATTCTGTCCTCTGTTGATTTTCCAAGCCCTGTCTGATGGACCTTGAACTGTAATACCTCAGTTTTATACCTATTAGGAAAAGCTATAAGATTCTGACACTAACACTTTTAAATTCTTTCCCAGTTTCAGCAGCAGTCCCTTCATTGCTCTGTCCTACATCCCAATTCTATGCTCTCCCTCGCCATAGAATCTCAAATCTTCAGGTTATTAGATGAAAAACACAGTTAATCTTCATCACTTAGGATATGACCCCTCTTGCATAAAACCATCAACTATGTAGCCAATTAACTATAGACTTAGGGGTCAAATTCCATTAGAGTTCTCTCCTTTTTTGCCCAGAGAATTCAGTAATCATACAGCTCAACATGGTTACCAAAATCTGTTCCTACAATGAAGCATTCTGGTTTCTTTGCTTTGTTTGGGGGTTTCATTGCTTTGTTTGCTTCTTTATATCACAGACAGAGGGAACCACGGAAGTAACCCATGGAAATAGAGAAATCCTGTTTGAAAGGTAAGGACTGTTTAAAAACCAACGGATTTTAAGGGGGACAAAATAAGCTAAGAGAACAGCACCAAGTGCAGGGGTACACAACAGAGGGGCACCATGAAAATGTAAGAAAGTACATGTGGATAAATCAGGGGAAATTACCCCTCCCCCCAACAACTCTCTGGTCAACTGACGCTTTAGGTTGTGGGAGAGCTGGGAAAGTCCTGAACAATTAAAGCAATCACCTGCTGCGGTCGTCCTCGCGTGTCCTTAGCGTCCAGCACAGTTCCTGGGCATACAGTCGCTAGCTGCCAATGAGTATTTGTGTAGTAAATGTGACACTGGCCACCTACCCAATGCTTTCAAACAAACTATAAAATTCTGTGACACGGGCACTTCCATGCGCACCCAGGCCCAATCTATGGCAGGATTTGCGGGGAAAATGCCTGACTTAAAGGAAAGTATACGGAATCGCCTGGCTATGGTTCATTTGCCGGCACAGGGCGAAAACACGGCAAGCTCAGGTGTGCAGATTTGAGACCACCCTAAGGCTTGTCTTTTACACTATCTGCCAGGCTCCTGTCCAACTTCTGTCTCCACCGGCGGCGACCACGGAGTTAGCCAGGGGCAGTTCTGCGGTAGTAGTAACAGGGAAGACTCTTGGGGGCAGTACGTCTCCTCTCCTTGGCGCCGGTCTCCTGGAACTGCCGCGCTGCCCCTCGCGCCTCTGCAAAGATGCGGAGGTCGGAGCACGTTGCTGTGCGGTGACGAAAGGCTCCCACCGCCAGCCTCGAGAGCCCAGACCCTAACACAGCCGGGATTTGGGGTTGCCTCTACGATCCCTGCGGGTGACCCCCCCTCCCCGGTCCGCTTCTCGGGTGCGCACCCGCCACTTAGGGGGCGTTCCAGGGTCCCCGCGGTCCTCTGCGCCCCTGGGCAGCGGCAGCGGGGCGGGAGGCGGGAGGCGGGAAGCGGAGTGGGAGGCGCCCGGGGCTCGCGCGCCACGGTGCTCCGCGCGGGATTTGCCGCCTTCAGCTGCAGCACCTGCCGCGGCGGCGGCGGGCAGAGGGTGGAGGGCGCTGAGGAGGGCCGGAGCCCGGGCCAGGCGGGAGGGGGCCGGGAGGCCGAGCCAGGCGAGCCGGAGGGGTGCCGCGCTCCCCCGCCCTCCTTCCGGGAGCGAGGATGCAGACTCTGAAACTGGCGCTGCTGGGCTGAGGCGGAGGCAGGGGAGTTGCAGCGCGCGAGGCTCAGTGAGTGTGTCTCCTGCGCGCGGAGAGGCGGGGGAGGCGGAGGACCAGGAGGAGGAGGAGGGGGAGAATGCCCGGAGCCGCCGCCGCTGCCGCCGCCGCCGCGATGCTGCCGGCTCAGGAGGCTGCCAAGCTGTACCACACCAACTATGTGCGGAACTCGCGGGCCATCGGCGTGCTGTGGGCCATCTTCACCATCTGCTTTGCCATCGTAAACGTGGTGTGCTTCATCCAGCCCTACTGGATCGGCGACGGCGTGGACACCCCGCAAGCCGGCTATTTCGGGCTCTTCCACTACTGCATCGGGAACGGCTTCTCCCGGGAGCTGACCTGCCGGGGCAGCTTCACGGACTTCTCCACGCTGCCCTCGGGCGCCTTCAAAGCCGCCTCCTTCTTTATCGGCCTCTCCATGATGCTCATCATCGCCTGCATCGTTTGCTTTACCCTCTTCTTCTTCTGCAACACGGCCACGGTGTACAAGATCTGTGCCTGGATGCAGCTCACCTCCGGTGAGTGCGCTCTCGCCTCGGCGGAGGCGGGGGACCCCGGGGCGTCCGAGCCGGGGAGGGGCCAGAGTGGGAGGGACCCGGCCGCGCGCGCCGGTGAGCCCGGCAACTTAATCCGCTCGAGCGTCGGGGTGTGGGTGGCGAGAGGCCGGAACCCCCGGGGTTCCCGAGCTCGGGCGCTGGCGCGGTGTCCCGGGGCTTGCGTGAACCTCCCAAGTGTGGGGGACGCCACCCGGACTAGAGTGCGCTCAGAACTAGAGGTGGGGGGCGGAGAAGCGGCGGCTTAGGGAGGTGGTGGGGTGTCCCGAGGGACTAAGGAGGGACCGACACAGCGAGGTGAAAAGCGGATTTGGAGAGGTTGTAGTGGATGAAACTGGCAGTCTGCTCTGCGCCCGGCTGGGACTATTTCTGTCATTGTTTCTTTGGGGCGAGGGGCGGGGGTGAGGTGGAGATTAAACTGAAATTGTTTGGTCCGTCCCGGGCACTTGTAAATATTTGGCCATCCGTCTGGAGATTAATACATCCTGTTCGGTTTCACCTTTTTAAGAAAAACGTAGCTTAGAGCGAGTCCCTTGTTATTCCCCAAAGTGTCGTCTCACTTTGCCTCCTTGTCAGTGCAAAAGGTCCTTCCATTTCATCTTTAAACAGACGTCTTCGGGAAACGAAGACATTTGGGAAGTGGTTTTGGGGAAGTGGACCGAGAGGAAAACTCATTTCGTTAGTATCTCTGATCACTTGTCCCCTATGGGTGATAGGTTGTTGCTAGCTAGAGAATCATGGAAGTACTTTTTACTGAGCATCAAAGTTACTTTTAACTCAGAAAACCTGGGAGTTCGTGTCCTGGGGGCTTTGAAGAGTCCTGAAACAAGACTGATTCCTCCCTGTCCTTCCCTGGTGCTGGGTGCCTCTCTGCCAGCCGCCTTAGATGTCCTCCCTTCTCAGTCAGTGGCCCTAAGATCCTTGACATTTACCTGTTCCAGAGACATTGCTGAGTTCCTTTTGGTTTTGTAGAATAGTCAATGTACCAGGCAGCCAGACTTTTCATTTGTGCTTTGTTTTATTTTCATCCTTTAGAGATGTTCGTTTTAAGAGTTTGTCCTTTCTTCTGTTTCTGGGTTTGTTTTATTTTCATCCTTTAGAGATGTTCGTTTTAAGAGTTTGTCCTTTCTTCTGTTTCTGGGAAGGTTTTCTGGGGAGTAGGAATTTAATCCCTTGGTCTGCCAGAGTGGTGTAGGATGATTAAATCCATTAAAGGTGCTAGACAACAGCGTGAAAGTTCTTGATCTTATGTGGCTACTTTTGATAGTAACAAAAGAGAAGCACGTGGAAGACTAAACTTGTATGGACGTATTTGTTTTGTATTAAGTATGTCTCAGCTGATTTTGATTGGCACCTACTGTGGTGCATACGTGAAAAAAGCAAGAAATGAGCGCCAATGGAGACCCCGCTTCTCATACACGCTTTTATCCTGCTGAAATACAAGATTTCTGTGTCTCCTCTCCCTCCAGACTTCCTGAATCAGCATCCCCCCACCCCCGTGTTTTCATATAATGTTAACTTTTATGGCCATTGCAGGAGCAGGATAACGTTGAGATTTGGAATAAATTTGTGTATTATGGTTGTTCTTGACACTTAGCTCTGGTTTGACTTTGAAGGGAACAGGACATGCAGGATGCAGATGTTGTAGAAAAAGAATTGACCCTGCACAGCTAATTTTAATTTTTCCAAATTAAATGACCTATTTAGACGGGTGATTCAAATGAGATTGTTTTTCAAAGGTCTGAAGGTAATTTGCAGGTGATTCCTCCACGACGTATTCTCAAATGTTTGATTTTTATGAAGTTCTGTACTTTAAACCCAAGTGTTTTTTTTAAAGGGCAGAAGAATGATGTTTGGTAAAGAAATAGCAATACTTTGAAGTTAATACAAACTGTGACTATTACAATCCTTTTTTCCCCCCTTTTCTCTGCAGTAGAGCACACAAACCTCATTCATTCTGGGGCAGTGAAATGCAACATTTTCAGACATTTGATATAAATATACTCTCCATGTCATATAAAATGTCATGAAAGCCTGTATACTGAAAGATGCAAGGACATTTACTTCATTGTAGACAAGTCTAGAGCTTTAAGTGGCATATGTAAAAAAAAATCCCACACCTTTATTTGCAGCTGGTATTTTATTTCTTGTAAACTACAGGAAAAGATATTTTGATTAGTGAAAGTGAATTAACACAAAATAATGGATTATGATAACAGGTCAAATGAGAATCAAAGTCGGTTATATTCACAGATTTTTAAGGAATGAGATAGAAGATATTTCTGAAGAATGTCATGTTTTTAACATGGTTTCTAGGGTATTTTTTTGTTTCATGGCATTAACAAAATTTTACATAATGTCAGTTACTTTGAAAGTGTAATCTCTAACCTTCATTACTCTTTAATGTTTAAGCAGCCTTCTCCTACTTATTGTTGAACTGTACCCGGGCTAATCTCAAGTATAACTTGCTAAATATGAGAGATGAGACTTAATGTACCGTTTACTTATTAGAGGTTGTTTAACCCTCATCTGAAACCAAATGACTCACTTGTGTGTTTAGTTATCTAATAACACTTTAAAGCAGAACCAGGTAGAATATAAAAATCTGATATAAAATGACATGTTAAGATGATGCAAAGGAGATTGTTTTGTGGTAATACAGTATCAAGAATTATTATTTTTATGATTCTGACGTTGAACCAAAAAATTATTTAATTTATTCAGCTGGAAAATGATGTTGCTTATCTATCTGGTGCTAATACTGGTGCTGTTATTAACACCGTAACCTTGCCCTCTCCCCTCCAAATCTTTATCAACCTCGGTGGTATGAAATTAGGAAACAGACAGAGGAGCGAATATCTTTGGATGTAGTCCTGTATTTATGGCTCATGCCTAGGATCAAGACTGAAGACATGAAAATGATGCATAAAAGTAAATAATGAAAATCAGAGATGTAAACTTTTCCAAGCCTAGAGACAAGTTCTTGGAGGAGAAAAAAGAGACTTTTCTTCTTTCTGTGTGATTTCTCTAACACTAAAAAGAAGGGAATAGATCTGTAATTGGCCAAGAAAGGTAATAAAGTCCAGAATGTTTTTTTCTTCGTCAGGATGGAAAGGGAATTTTGTCCCTCTGGGAACTCGCTTCTCTGCTTCTATGTTCTTGTTCTCTTTAAATCAGTATTTCTGATGATTTCAGGGTCTGAGCCAACTCTCAGAGAAGATGTTTTGCCTTGTTTGTTTTACTGACTACAAGCCATACTTTGAATTGTTTCCAGAAGCTGATGTGTTTGTCATTTTAGGCCAAAGATATCTTTTTTTTTCTTTGTAAGTAAAGAATTAAGGTGGAACTGAAGGTTTTGTAGACATTCACCATGGATTTCTTTGTCAAAGGCAGCAGATGAAGACAGGCACCAGCTTTTATCTGTGAAGAAGGGGCACCTGATCTGGGTTAGATTTCTTATTCAGGACGGATAAGGACAGAAGTGAGTTGCATTCCCCAGATGCCTCACCTCTTGTCATTCTCAGTATACCAACAAGAAGGGCAACCAAGATGGCAAGGCATAGTGCAGGGGTTAAGGGCTGAATTGTTTAGTCATTCCCCCAGGCTGCCAGCCTTAGTTCTCCCAAATTCTTATTAGCCAGGTAGCTTTCTTAAATTTTATAACTTTGTCATTTAGGTGAGATGAGATGCATTTCTTAGCTTGCAAGGAGAGCCTTTGCAGTGATATACCGCCCTATCTCATGGCACCCTGCTCTTTTCTTATAGATCTCATTAGTGTTGGAAATCTCAGTGTATCTGCATGTTTGTTTAGTGTCTGTCTTCTCTAGTACAGTAAAGTTCCATAAACCTTGTCTGTTTTTCTTTATGTAGCATAGACATCAAGAGCACAGACACTAGAGTTAAAAGACGTGGGTTTGAAGCCTGCCTCTCACACCTAGGGAATTAATCTTTCTATTTTTTAGTCTTGTCTGCAAGTGGGCACAAAATTGTACCTACCACAGGAGACTGATACAAGGATTAAACAAGCCAGGTTTAGTGCCTGGCTCACAGTAAGCAAGCCCTGTATGAGTGTTAGGTATGGTTGCTGTTGTTGTGTTGCCGTTATTATTGCTATATCCTGGCACACACGGTATATATATATGTCTGGCACATAGTAGGTATGCAATAAATTTTTGTTGAGTTAATGAATAAAGAAATGAATGATTAATGGGGTGAAGAATGAAAGGAGAGAAGAGTGATTTTAAATTTCCTCAAGGCCTTGGTGAGAAGTGAATGCTATCTACTTTCTGATACTTACTTTTCTTAGTGGTTTGTGGCATCAGCAGTGGCCACACTGAAAGAACTCTTCCATATGCTTCGATGGCAAGGGTTACAATTTGACAGCCTAAGTCATGATGAGCTTTTCTCCATATGGAGGCTTTTCCGATATCTATGTCATGATTTGATTATAACACTAGGAGATAATCGTATCTCAGATTTTAGCAGATTTTCTCTTACCATTTAGTTTCTCATAAAAGAAGTACATCACCCAAGATAGAGTTATTTAGGAATCAAGAGACCAGGCTTTCTTTCATGAAGAGCAGAGACCTGTTCCGGGTTGGAATTCCTTATATGCCTTCAGGAGCAATAGGACAGGAGAAGACAGTGGGGGTTGCAGGCTTTCCCATTTCCTCCTGGGCATCAGTACAAGTATCTTCCTGGACACCCAGGAGCCTGCCAAGCCTGCTCAGGTAGGGTGGTGGTACTGAGTGTGCAGAACTCTGGGGGGGTGGGGACAAGGCTGGGATTTCCTCAGGCAGACTCAGTGTTCAGGATGGTCATTAGTCCTTACCATTTGGCGAATGGTGAGCCAGCATGAGAAAGCCAACACTTGCCTAAAAGAGCCACTTATTCTTCCGAAATTCCGTGTTAGGGGGTGACCCTAACGAGCGTTTCCCTCTACCAAGCATTTCAGACATTCTCCT